GAAACGAGCAAGCGGCCACCTGAATCCGCCAAAATGACGAAGCGACCGCTGCCCATAGACATCCGCAATTGCGGATGCGTTGCCTACCCATATCCGACGGAGGAGGAGACGCACATAAAGAGGATATTTCCCCTTCCTATGTATCTCCTCTACCGTCAAATCCACTTCCCGTTCCCATCCTTCCTTATAATAAAAGGGTGGTAAAGGGAAAGGGACTTAAATTAGGCCTCCGGCACCACACTCATCAGACGAAGCACGGAATTGCTTCCATTTCACGCCTGTCTTCTGTGTGGTTGTGGTATTTCACCGGGCGTGCCGGCCCTGCAGTGCTAAGATGTTAAAGCGGGCACTACCACTGTTAAAAATCTCTGTCCAGGTCTACCTCTATCGGTGTACCTCCACACTCATAACGTTATCCTTGTAACATGCGATTCATCCCTCCTTATAACATGCCCATACCATCTCTATATAGCGTTTTTTGATAATACGATAACGTATTGCTGTGGATATGCATATTTATTGTTTTATTTATTTGAATTGCTTAAATATCTATGTTTGTTCTCTAAAAAGGAGCAATAACTAATTTAGATTGTAATACTTTACAAGTATTGATAATTGGCTATTGCTCGCGAATTCGTCCGCGTGGATTAAAAAATAATAAAAAAATATATTCTATATTTATCACTGAATACGTAGTTTTTAAACGGTGAAATATTTTTTTAATCTACCCAGTAGTTTTTGAGCTATTTCAACATATACAATAAAATCGTCTTTATAATATTATTGTAGACACGTTTATTAGATATTTTTAAAAAAACTTGCCTTTGAGTTATCTTTTAATAATTTTGGTAATGATTCATAACATAGCTATTTTATTTAGCAATATAATTATTTGCCAATTACATGTAATTACTAATAATGAAGTAATTAAATTCGATTCAATTTTTTCGTATAAATTGTCAGGAAATCGCAAGTGAAATTAATTGCTGTATCGACTCTCGACAGTTAACAATGAAGTTCATATTATTGGTAAGTAATGTCCATGCTTTTCTTTCGTTTACTAAAAGATCATTTTTCTGTGAACGTGTAGTGCAAAACTCATAGCTACCTGCTTTTCTTTGGCGACGTCCACGCTATTTTTACAACCATGCACATAATGGTGCTAGAGGCCCAACTTTAGTCCCTTTTCCTTCCCACCCTTATTCTCATAAGAATAGGATGGAAAGAGAACGTGGATTTAACGGTGGAGAAGAATCATAGGAAGAGCAAATGTCCTCTTTATGCGCGTCTTCTCCTCCATCGATTAAGGGTAGGCATCCGCTATCGTGAATGTATATGGGCAGCGGTCACTTTGCCATTTTGGCTGATTCAGGTGACCGCTTACTCGTTTGCCACCTTATAATATTAAAAAAAAAAAATAAAATGTTTTATTTTCAGTTGGCTGTAATAGCCCTGTTTACATTTACATCAACTGATGGATCTCCATTAACGAAAAAAGAAAAAATTAACGACAACGATGAGAACTCACACGAAGATGTAACTGGCAAACTTGAAACTAAGAAAGAAAAATTTAAATCTACTAAAGAAAACAATGAGAAAACAATCCCAGAACCATTAGAAGAAGAAGGAAATCAACTCTATATTATGGTACCAGCAGGAAAACATGTACAAAAACCTAAACCATACAACTATAGGAGAACACCTAAAATGCCGATAAAACCTCGATATGTATTAAAAAAACAGAATTATCCAATGCCTTACGCGTATCCGATGTTCCAAGATCATGAAGAAATAATGGAGCCAGAGACTAGAATGGAATATGTACCAAATGTGATGGGAAAAATGGCAGATGACTTACCCATGTATTATTTCCCATCACCACGAAAGGGACAGTTTACAAATAATGTTGATGAAATGAAACAACTGTATAAGGCACCATTTATATATCAAGATAAAGAACCTTGGAACCCGTATTTAGAAAATCCTGATTATTATAACTAAAAAAATGTTTACGCAATAAAAATTGTATCAGTAATTCCCTTTTTATAGTAAGTGTAAATAAATACATGTAAAAATTATTTCGCCGTTTGATTTTTTTATATTTTTCTATGCATTTCAATTATTGAAAAAAAAATATAGCTAAGCTCAAATGCATTTGCCAACAAAAAGTTATGATAAATAAATATTGTAACATCGCACCCGCGGAAATACCCATTATATGGTTTTTGCGGAGCCATATTTGTGCATCTATTTAATTTGTGTTTTCTGTAAAATTTTCAATAAATAAAATAAATAATAATATAATTATAATAAATAATAAATACTTTATTTATTTGATTTCCTACTATTTATCTAAACTAATGAAGTTAATTAAACGTAAACAGAAACTTTTTTATATATTTAGGATGTCAGCAGTCCAAGCATATGTTTTAAATTATCATTTTTTAACACAGCCCTACACTTACAACTCGCTTTAGACAAACTGTCGTGCGAGAAAAGGACAAAAACTATAAGCCAATAGCATAGGAAAGAAGCAAGATTGCCGATGGTAACGATAATTTTTAACCAATAGCAAAGGCCTTTACAGTCAGTTAAGCATTTGAATTATGACTTTCGCAATTGAAAAAGTAAAACAAAAGATTTTATCCGGGGACGGATAGTGAAAAATAAAAAAACGTAATGCATTAATCAGGTAAATTATTTTAATATTTTTTTTTCAATAATATTTTTCCATAGTTGTTAAAGTAATTTTGGTAAGTTCCCTAAAACAAAGGGACCATAATGCATTGAATATCAATAATATGAAGTTATACGAAGGTTCTACATTAGTGTCGTGAGCTGTGTTTGTTCTTTTAGATTAGTTAAAAAAAGTGCATTTGAGGCTTCCAAAAAGACAAACAATACTTATCAGAACTTATACGAAATCGATAAACAATTTAGTGGTTTCAAATGTTTGAAAATCGAACGTTCTTTTTCACTAACAAACCAGCAAATCCGACGTAAAAACTACAACCAGCTTTTGTCTACGACCTCGTTCGAATTAAAAAAGCTTAGTACTTTGTCTATGTGTCTTCCAGACTATGCTCTACATCTGTGCCAATTTCATGATAATCCAATGAACCATTTTGGAGATAGATTTATATTTAGTAACGAACATCCGTCCATTCAAACTTTCGCATTTGTACAATAGATTGTAATATAATGTTTATGTACATTCCGTTTTCAATTTACCTACACGTTTTTATAAAAATACACAATTACAATTTAGAATGTATTTTAAAACGCCTGATGACTAGCTTTTTAAATCTGTACCCTTATCCTGACACTCATTTTATTAGCAAACTTTTGAACCGGAAACCGATAACCGTAACTTTTAGTAACGTAACCGATACTTATCCGATAGAAATAAAATCGTAATTTGAGAATCATTATAAAAGAATTTATTGCATCAATCGAATTTAATAATAAGATGGCAGTTAACAAACACGATGTCATTTAATTTTTTTTTTTTCTAATTATTCGGGTGACGAAATTCCCATAAAGTAATGAGGCATTAGGCTCCATTAAAATAATTGTGGATATAAATACGAATGCAAAATTAAATTCGCACATTCATGTTTCAAACATGGCTGTTAAATATTTGGTGAGTTTCCATTTATTTCCGTTTTTATAATATTTTTACTTTTAAAATTAACGAACATTATCTTGCACTTTAAATATGAAGCATTTTAATTACATTTATTGTAATAAAAACATAGAATTTACAATAAATAATTTAATGGACTTTTGTGAACCCCCATAGTACCAATAAACCTCTACAAAACCAAAAATAATACATTGCTCTACTTGTATCGTCATAACATGACTTATTTTTACAGATATTTTTTTCAATTGTTTCTCTCCTGGGCATTGTGTGCGCCCGTGAATTGAAAATAACATCAAAAATAAAAGCGGATCCTGGTATTTTCATATCTTTGGAAACATTACGACGACTCGAAGCAAAAGCTAAGAAAAATGGCACCGAAGGCATAACTACGATTGCGCCATCCGAGAATTCAGTTGATGTTGATAATAGTGTTATCTCCACTACAACCTCTCAAGACATCGAAAATGATCCAGTTTCAAACGATCCTGATGAGGCTAAAGAAACGACAAACGCAGATGTTGAAAATCAAACGAACCAACCAACAAATGATACGAAGACAGACGGAAGTGTAGACGAACCTATCACATCGATTCCAAATCGTCCAGATACAAACCAACAATATTACCCCAACCAGGCGGAAAGTCAACAAGCTCTACTTGCATATCAAAAGATAAAATGGCCTCTTCCACAATATCAATATGACTGGTCCAACCAAAATTATTATCAACCAAATCCATATCAACAAATGCCTAACGGAGCTGCTAACCAACAAAATCTTGGATACCAACAAATGAATCCAGTATTATTTAATCAACGAATACTTTATCATTACAATGATCCTCAGCCATTTTCGATCAATCCTCAAATAACTTTCGATCCTAACCAACACTATCAACAAACGTTCATAGTACAGCATCCTTATCCGATCAATCATCCATCTAATCCACAAATGAATTAAATACTCTTAAAACCTATATACCCTTATACCAACAGATTTCTTGTAGACATTAAATTGTTAATAAATTAAATTGTTGTTAATTAAAAAAACTTAAATTAGTAACTATTTATTTATTTTACCTTTTAAATGTACGTTATTTTTCAAAAGTTGTTCCATTGTTCCATAGATGTTGCACGCATGAAAAAAATACTTAACTTAAGAACAGCGACATCTATTGTTTAGTTTAGAAAACATCCACATTATTTTATCTGTGCTCCGATGTGTACTAGTGTGTGAATTAAAACATAGATGGCGCTGCAGCAAACATCCCTTTGCTGAAACAGTACGTCACCACATGCGCGGCAAGCTGCGCGAACAATATAAAAATCGAACCAAACCAAATGTTATCCGACACAAATCTATAATCGTCGTCCCTTATAAATGTCAGCTTCGTCTGAAACAAACGCGAAAAATATGCCGGAGGACACAGAATCAATAAATAAAAACACAAGTACAGCAACTAAAAGTGATACTATGAAAAGTTTAATTGATAAAAATAATAGCAAAAGTGTGAGTGACTCCGAAACGATAATCAAAGTTAAAAGTGTTATTCCCAGAAAAAGGTGAGTCTTGTCCTGTTTTCTATTTGTTTAATAAACGATAATACAAGTTATCTTACAAATGTTATACCTACAAATGTTTCACATCTTTTTGGATAGTTTTTCGTTAAATCCGTACATGATTTTAAAAATGGTAATAGTAATTATGGAACGTGAAAAGTGACTTGCTCCAGTTTTCTTGATATAATTAACTAGGCGAAGATCTAAAAATACTAATACACTAAAGCATTTCATTGCGAAGATATCTTTATGAACGAAAGCACTTCGCGCCAAATTTACATTGGCTGTTTTAAAATTTCATTTCAATGGTTTTGTTAATATTTATTAATAATAATAAAAACAGTATTTAGGAATCCAAGGAACGTGACTCAGGTACTCAGTATAGAGTTAAATTAACTACGTAGGAGGAGAAGCATTTGTTTATTCATCCATAGACACACATTTGTAACAAACGAACTTTCGCCCACAACTCCGTCGGCGTAGAATTTAAAAAAAAAACAAAAGTAAATAGTCTATGTGCTCTTTCATACTATCCTGTTCATCTATGCCAAAGTTCATCGAGATCCGTTCTTCAGTTTAGGGTACAAACTCTAACAAACATCAATCCATCTAATCTTTCGCATTTATATTAATAAGATACATGCAATCTGAAAGAAAAAATTGGCGCGAAGAAAAGGCATTTGTAAGGCTAAATTCCATCAGTGATGTCATTTACAATAGACAGGGAAAATATTTTTTTTATTTTATATCTATAGATTTGAACTAATTCAAATATAAATTCAATGGTAAAGATGAAAAGCTTTGGAAAAAAATATTTTAAAGTAGCGAAATTAGCGAGGTATCGTGTGTAAGTTCTATCGAGCATAATTTACGTATTTCCGATCAATTATTTTATGAAGTTTCCAGTACTTTGACATTGTATAAAATTTAGACTCAGTTATTATATTTCTCTCTCCTTTCCACCCGTTTGTGAATCAGCGGACCATGCAAGGAACAATCGTTCAAGGGGTTTGAAATAAAATTTATCGTTACGATCTTATTTTTGTTTTAATATGTTATCAAAACTGGCTCTTTATTTCAAAATCTTATACAAAAAACCACAAAAGTTTTGTTTCCTGCATTTGTGCAAAATAATAAATGTTGTTAATAATACAATTGCTGTGATTTCAAATTAATTTTAATCATACTAATTCATATTAATATTATAAATGCGAAAGTTTAGATGGATGGATGTTTGTAGCCTAAACGGCTGAACGAATATCGATGAAATTTAGTACAGATGATGATAGTCTGAAGGAACGCATAGGTTAATCACTTTTGTTTTTTAATTCCACGCGGACGGAGTCGCGGTCGAAAGCTAGTACTCATTTTTTTAATACTGACTTTCGCCCGCGACTCCGTCTGCGTAGAACTAAAAAAAACAAATGTAAGTAGTCTATGTGTTCTGCCAGACTATCCTCTACATCTATGCCAAATTTTATTGAAATCCGCTCTGCCGTTTAGGGTACAAACTCTAAGAATAATATTTCCATCTATACTTTCGCATTTATAATATTAATATTAGTATGATTAACTCGATGTAAACAATTTTAGGTCAACTTGTAACTTGATGGTTTTATCGTATATTTACAATATATATTTTTATTTATAACATGTCCCGTGAATCAGTTAATCTTATCTCACTATCAGAGTTCTACCAAAAAATATCAGGTCGTTTACATTTTACAATGTTTGTATAAGTTGGCATATTGCCAATCATGCATGTTAGTTACTTAGTTTTTACTTTAAAAAAATCACAAGAAATAAACACGAATTACGCACAGACAGATAAACAATTACTTTTTCCTTATAAGGAACACAAACATACTCAAGATTAATTTATTTACCATACTAGCTGTTGCCCGCGACTTCGTCCGTGTGATATTATAAAACGTACGAACAATAGGAATAACAAAAAACTACCTATCCCTAGGGAACCGGGCATTTCGCGGTGATGAACCTTATCCCATGTGTACTCCAGACTTTGTTTTATATCTGTGCCAAATTTTAATAAGATATAATTAAACCGTTGCAGAATGATCGAGTAAACATTAAAAAACTAAATTTATGAATCCCACGGGAACCGTAACTATTTCCGGGATAAAAAGTAGCCTATGTGTTCTTCCAGACTATCCTCTAAACCTGTCCCAAATTTCATGGAGATCCGTTCAGCCGTTTAGGCTACAAACGTTAACAAACAACCATCCATCGTAACTTTTGCATTTATAATATTTATATGATTATATGACATATAATTACAGACGGACACTCGAATTTTATTCATGTACGAACTGTTCCCGTGCGGCTTCATCTGCATTAATTATAAAAACTTTATTTTATTGTTTACATTTGTGAAACAATTGCAAATGTTGAAATTAAAATGCATAAATGAAGGCCTTTGACATTGGATAACAATTACCATTACGATGACAATCTTGCTTCCTTAATGTAGATTTTACCAGCTAAGTTTAATAGCGTGAAAACATGTAGCCTAAAGCAGTTAGAGCTTTTTATCAGATACTAGCTGTTCCTATGCGGCTTCATCCGCATGAAATTATGAAAATTTTATTTTATTGTTTACATTTGTCAAATTATCAATTGCAAATGTCAAAATGACTTGACATGACAACCTTGGCAATGTTGCTTTCTTGATGTTGGCAGCAACTTATGGTCTCTTTCCTACATTAGGGTTTTTATCTAAAATATTTATCCCCTAAGTTTGATGGCGTGAAAATATATAGCCTAAAGAGTGACGTAAGTGTAGGGTTTTTTTATTTAAAAAAGAAATTTTCCAAAATATGATGTAATTGCTGACATCTTAGGCAACAAAGAAGTGTGTGTTTACGCTTTATTATAATAGTATAGATATAGACTAACATAACATAACATAAATAAACCAGCGCTTGACTACGTCTCCACCTAACCTAAGTGAAGACGCGGCCGAAGCTAGCTGTTCCCGTGCGGCTTCATTTGCATCAAATTATAAAAACGTTTTTTTAATGTTTACATTTGTCAAATTCTCAATTGCAAATGTCAAAATGACTTGACATGACAACCTTGGCAATGTTGCTTTCTTGATGTTGGCAGCAACTTATGGTCTCTTTCCTACATTAGGGTTTTTATCTAAAATATTTACCCCTAAGTTTGATGGCATGAAAATATATAGCCTAAAGCGTGACGTAAGTGTAGGGTTCTTTATTTAAAAAAGAAATTTTTCCAAAATATGATGTAATTGCTGACATCTTAGGCAACAAAGAAGTGTGTGTTTACGCTTTATTATAATAGTATAGATATAGACTAACATAACATAACATAAATAAACCAGCGCTTGACTACGCCTCCACCTAACCTAAGTGAAGACGCGGCCGAAGCTAGCTGTTCCCGTGCGGCTTCATTTCCATCAAATTATAAAAACGTTATTTTAATGTTTACATTTGTCAAATTCTCAATTGCAAATGTCAAAATTACCGTTACCGTAATAACCTTGCTTCCGTAATGATGGCAGCTTGTAGTTTATGATGACTTTCCCACATAAAAGATTTTTCCATTTCATTTACCCTCTAAGCTTAATAGCGTGAAAATATATAGCCGAAAGCGTGTCGTAAGTAAAGACCTTTTTATTAAAGAAAGAAATATTCAAAAATATAGTATGATTGCTGGCATCCTACGCCACGAAGTAGTGTGTGTTTACGCTTTATTATGTTAGTATAGATATATATATATAGAGATGTACAAATATAACGAAAATTGGAGTGTCAAAGTATAGATTAATTAATACTAATACGTAAACCTGAGAAAAGATATGACTTTAATATTGTAAATAGGTTAGAAAAGCGAACATCGGATTATAGATTAGATAACAAACAGAGCCGATAACTTCCCTGTTTTCAGTGGTGAGACACGCATACTAAAACATATAGTTTTCTCTGTTCAATTCAAGAAAATGAAAGAGACAATTGACATTTTAATCTGGGTTAGGCGACACACATAATCTGTGGCTATCTACCCAGCCCCCTGGACGGTGGCCCTACCGCGGTTCTGATTCTAGTCTTTCCTGTCTGGTCATAGTCTAAAGTCACGTTAAAATGATTTCCAAACCAAGAGTACTTCAAGAAACAAGTCTATCTCAAAGACCGGAAACGTATCTGTAGTTCTTCTGGAGTTGTGGATGTTTATGGGCGTCGCCGATCACCTCGGTATTTCCGCCCTATTTTCATATAAAAAAGGTATCAGGTGTCAGTGATCGGCTTTTAACATTCCTCCCGGATCGCTGTTTGTTTGTCTATTTGTGTAAGAAGACATCCATGCTGTTCAATCCAATAAAATGTTCAATTCATCCAATTTGTGGTAGTGCCCGCTTTAACTTCTTAGCACGAATGGGCCGGCACGCCCGGTGTAATACCACAACCACACAGAAGACAGGCGTGAAATGGAAGCAATTCCGTGTTTCGTCTGATGAGTGTGGTGCCGGAGGCCTAATTTAAGTCCTTTTTCCTTTCCATCCTTTTCTTAAGAGGAAAGGATGAGAAGGAAAAGTGGATTTGACGGTGGAGGAGACGCATAGGAAGGGGAAATGTCCTCTTTATGTGCGTCTCCTCCTCCGTCAATTAAGGGTAGGCAACGCATCTGCTATTGCGGATGTTTATGGGCAGCGGTCGCTTTCCATTTCGGTGGATCCAGGTGGCCGCTTGTTCGTTTGCCACCTTGTATTATAAAAAAAAAATATATGTATTTTATCTACAATTTCATAATAACCACATATTAATATGGTAATACTAATGTATTTGCGTTACACTGCGTCTGTTTGAGTATTGTTTTAGCATACGTGCATCGCCACTTTGCAGTTGGTATCAATGCAAAATAACATTTTATGCGAAACATGGCAAGATAAACAAATTAGAATGACTATGCGCTTCATGCAATTGTCTCTATAGAACTTTACAATGAAACTAGCTGTTGCCCGCGACTTCGTCCACGCAATGTTAAGATAATAAAGTAGTCTATAATATGTCATCTATGTCAGCTACCTACTAGTGAAAGTCCGGTCAAAATCGGCCCAGTCGTTTCCGAGATTACCCGGAAAAAACGCGGCTTGCAGACAGACACACAAAAAATTTTTAAATGTGATTTTCGTATCGCAAATACATCTCGAAATCTGATTTTTTTCATTTGATATTACAGACACTCCAATTTTGTTAATGTATAGATTACGTTTTCTTTGTAAACGCAAGTTAGGAGGAGGTAGGTGACCTATTGATACACAAATTTAAAATACCTCGTATTCTTAAACGTTTTTGGGTCAAGTGCATAACGTATTAATGAGAGAATTAAATTAAAAAGAAAATATTATAAACAATCACTTATAGCCTTATAAAAATAATTCGTAAACATGTTTACAGGGTCGACCTCTACCTATATATTTTTGGCATATACAAAATTACGTAGATTTCAATTAATTATAAGATGAATGTAAATAAATAAACTGCGACAAGCTTTCTTCGCAATATTCTAATTGAAGTACTGTATTTTTTTTACTTTTCTTTTAAAAATGCAAAACAATTAAATCTAGCTTAAAATGAAAAACCGCTAAATAAACGTCAATGGTTTTGCACTAGCGTTTCAATCATAGGAATTATACGAGCTGTCGCTCGCAAACTTCGTTAGTGCGAGCTTGGTCCACCCGTTACGCCATTGTGATAGCGCGGAATTAAAAAAAAAGTAGCCTATAATATGCCTATTCATGTCAGTCACCCTCCAGTGAAGACCCCTTCGAAATCGGCTCAGCCGTTTTAGAGATTACACGGAAAAAACGCGGCTTGCAGACAGACCGGTAGACAAATTTTTTTTAAATGCGATTTTCGTTATCGGCAAATACATCATCTTCCCGAAATCTGGAATTTTTCTTTTATTCAAACAGACACTCCGATTTTATTATATGTATAGATTAATGTTAAGCATTTTTAAAAGGAATTCAAGTTCAAAGTGTGGCAACTCTCTTCATTGGAACTTTTTTAATTTCATGTATTTATCTTTTTAATATTTTTTCCAGACAGGAGCTGCTGAAATGGTACGGTTGGGGGTACAAAGATTCAATGTTCAAGTTGGAACAAGGTCAAGCAATGTTTACGGGCAACAGGTGAGCTGTCATTATAATAAAATTATAAAGCATTACACGAATAAATTAAATTAAACAGTTGTTAATACATTTTAACAATAAAATAAAGTAACTTATTGTGCAAAACATTAACGTTATTATTGTGTTTTTAAAACCACTGAGCCACCGACGCAGATCTTGGGTTCGAATCCCGCCATGTCTCAATGTGATTTTCGAATTTTCACATGTACATAATTTACCCGACGTTCTTACGGTGAAGGAAAACATCGTGATGCAACCTGCACTTATCGGCGAAGAAATTCAAAGATATTTGTGAAGTCAACCAAACCGCACTTGGCCAGCGTGGTTGACTATGGCCTAGTCACCCCTTATTAAGGTTGGCTCCGTGCCCCTCGGTGGGACGTACAGTGAGCTGGTGATGATGATTGTGTTTTTAAATATGGGTTTAATTATATACCTGTCTAAGATATGTCTAAGTTAAGTCTAAGTACGCTCTATGAATAAAATAGCCTTATTTATGTTAAAAAATTTTACCGTTACCTTTTAGTATCGCCTTCCCGTTTTTCCATATAATCAGAATCAATACTCGATCTTTGGAGTTAATTCAAAAAATATTTTGAATAATATTCAAATCATGTTTTCCGATTGATATTTCTATTTTTAGTTTAGTTAGTTGGATAAGGCATTATAACAATCCTTTCTCTAACGCTGGGTTTCTGAAGTTTCCATTTATTTTATCATTAGCTATTGATTCATTAATGGTTGGACAATATTTCAAAGGAGTAAAACTCAAGTAACGTATATAACTTTAAACTGTCGTGGTTTTTACAAATATAATGTTCGTAAGATACGGGTTTCTTACCACGATTGATTCAAGTAACGTAATTCGGAGACGCATTTCATGAATTTATGGAACCAATACATTAACGAATGGTTTTATTTAGCTGGGAAACTGGCCATTAGTGATGTTATTTGAAGTTTGTAGAGTGAGAGTGTCATACGTGAGTCGGTCAATCAGCCGGTGCAGTTCGCAACCCGTCTAGTTAGCAAATGCGATAAATTGGCGTTTCCGGGCACGCGTATACTCTCAATGTGTCAACTCTTTTTTTTCTTAGGTTTCTTTGCAATCAGTCTTTAAAACTTTAAGCAAATGTTAGTATCATCGTAAAGATACGTTATTTCACTCTCATCATGTGTTTATGGAACCTTGGAAAAAACATGTATTTCATGAAAAAAATAATTAATACGACGACAAAGAAAGTAAGGATTTGGTTGACATTTTGAGATATTTTCAACAAGCTGTGGATCGCGACTTCGTCCTCGAGGACTCACAGACAAATAACCTTTTAAACGGTGAAAGAATTTTTGAAATCGGACTAGTAGTTTTTGAGTTATTTCAATATAAACTAAAAAATTCAAATCTTCCTTCTTTATAATATTAGTAGAGATGTATTCTGTAGGCGTACTAGATTGGAGAACTCAGTATTAAAAAATATAAACGTATGAGGTAATGTAAATCTTAAGCGCTGTTCGCCCCCAAAGGATCCTGAAATCTACCAATAAATGGGATAGTTAGGTGTTATGTAAAACAAGATTAAAGCTTGCAAAATGGAGCAAATTTCTGAGCCGATTGAGTAACAGAATGTGTGTCGGCGTATCGCGTCATTGACCCCACAATTAGGATTATGTCATGCGATGTTCCCTGCGTTTCACCTCTATCACAAATGATTCTAAGACAAAGGAATAAATCTTTAAAAATCGCATCAGTTTTGATATCCTCAAGTCACTTGCAATTACTCTAGCTCATATGAAAAAAGATATTTTATCATTATCTAACTTCTAACTAATATTATAAATGCGAAAGTTTAGATGGATGGATGGATGGATGGATTTTTGTCAGAGTTTGTAGCGTAAATGGCTGAACGGATCTCAATGAAATTTGGCATAGACGTAGAGCATAGTCTGGAAGAACATATAGGGTACTTTTTATCCTGGGAATAGTTACGGTTCCTGTGGGATTCATTAATTTAGTTTTTTAATGTTTACTCGATCATTCTGCAACGGTTCAACATATCCTTTTGAAATTTAGCACAGATATAAAACAAACTCTGGAGTACACATGGGATGAGGTTCATCCCCGAGAAATGTCCGGTTCCCGAGGGATACGTAGCTTTTTGTTATTTATATAGTTCTTATGTTTTCTAATACCACACGGACGAAGTCGCGGGCAACAGCTCGACTTTTATAAACATTGTATTTCTGTAATTTAGTTTTATACGTTAAGTACAAAATATCTTCGTAATCTTGAATCAAAGTACAATGTCTTTGGTTTGGTATCAAAATTTTACTTTTATTTTTAATCGTACCAATCTCTGTTTAAATTATTTATAAAATATAATTGCTTATGATTTGAATAATAAATGATTGTTAACTCTTAGTGAAAGCAAAACGGAACAATGCTTCCTTGTAACAATTGAACTTTGCTTGTGTTATAATAGTACATTTTGTCGTAACAAATATCCCTGATTTAAGTAACTAAAAATTAAATAAACCTATACTATTATAATAAAGTGTAAACACACACTTCTTTGTTGCCTAAAATGTCAGCAATTACAGCATATTTTTGAATAATCCCTTTTTCAATAAAAAGCCCTACACATAAGTCACGCTTTAGGCTATATATCTTCACGCGATTAAACTTAGGAGGTAAATATTTTGGATAAGAGCCTTAATGTAGGAAAGAGACCAACAGTTGCTGCCAACATCAAGGAAGCAAAGCTGTCATCGTGTCATTTTGACATTTGTAATTGATAATTTGACAAATGTAAACAATAAAATAAAGTTTTTATAATTACACGCGGATAAGGCCGCATGGAAACAGCTAGTAATAAATATTATAAAGAGGAAAGATTTGTATTTTTGTATGTATTGAAATAGCTCAAAAACTACTGGGCCGGTTTTAAAAATTCTTTCACCATCAGAAAGGTAATTTATCTGTGAGTAATATAGGCTATTTTATTATTACTAATGTTTAGGAACTATTAATAAACAGAGTGTTTTTGGACGCCGGCGTTATAAATAATATAAGGTTGATCGGTGAATTTACATAATTTTTACTCTCAAACAAGTTCTATTGTAGCTTGAAATCTAAATCCTGCGACCTTAGCGACAAATAATTAATGTGAATCGCACATAAGTACGTAATCAAGGTATTTTAGCGCTGTAGTGTAGGCTGACTATACGATGATTTCTGACAATGTCGCTAATCATAAACTCAAATAACAATCTCTGTACCAACGTGCACGAAAAACATGCGCCCAGAAAACTTACGTAGCCGTAGTGATGGGATATCTTACTAATAATGCGAATGTTTAAATGGATGGATGGATGTTTGTTAGAGTTTGTAACCTAAACGTTAATGGATCAACACATAGGCTACTCTTTTTTTTTTTTTAATTCCACGCGGACGGAGTCGCGGGCGAAAGCTAGTGATAGAATATTTTAGTGATGTAATTGTAACGTCACTAAAATATTTTCCTTCTGTGCGGTCGTGTTGCACCGAGCGAAACATTCCTTCAGCTAATGTTGCGGAAAAACTCTCTACCACACGATTCAAACATTTTAAAAATAATTTGATGAACCATTTTTCCCTATCTCACTTCTTACTCTTAATAATATAAATGCGTAAGTTTCTATTGGGTCTTCCTGGGATCTGGGCATAGATGTAGAGTATTATCTAGAAGAACATATAGGCTACCTAACGAGATTTATTTAGATAACTACTGGCTTTCACCCGCGACTCCATCCGCGTGGAATTAAAAAAAAAAGTTAGTAACCTATGTGTTCCAGATTATCATCTACGTCTATGCCAAATTTCATCGGGATCCGTTCAGCCGTTTAACCTACAAACTCTAAAACCATCCATCCAACTAAACTTTTACGTATTTAATATTAGTAAGATTAGTAACATTCTCGGACCGATCCGCGGGTGACAGCCAACTGTCATAAAAACCATCACTAGTTCACATAAAGCTTGTGTACTCATCCGCAAGCAATTACGCAAGTACGATACATAAATTACGTGCATTCATTAAAAACGTAAACAAACAGTACAATACTGTTTTATTTTTCCATCGTTTTGTTCAAATTTAACAGTCGGTTGTCGTTTTTAGCGTTTAAACAGACTTACGTAGTCCATAGAAAATGTAATGTGATGTAAATTCTTTAGGCATTTTCGCATGAATCCGCTAACGCTGCAAGCAAAATACCGAATGTTATAGAGTAGCGGTAGCTTTGATAATTTTCTCTGCAGTTTTTAATTAATTATTTGCAGCATAATATCGCAAATAGTAATGTCTAGTTAAGATTCAAAATCAACTTGCCCTTGTCCCTATGGACTGCTGTATGTGCTGCTATTTCATGCATTTCTATCAGCCGTCATATCTCACTCCCTTCTTAATCCTCTTTCACACAATCCATACTTTACATGTCAAGTTAAGATTATCACTAGATATTTAACTTCATCATCATCACCAGCTCACTATACGTCCCCACCGTGACGCCAAGGGCAGATCCAGGTTTGGCGCCGGGGGGGGGGGTCACATAGGTCACATCGCTTGACAAAATATGTTAACATATTTTGTCAAGCTCTTGACTTGACCAAGACCAACCTGCTCAGTGGGGGTCATGACCCCTATAACCCCCCTTTGCGAGGGCCTCGGAGCCAATCCTAAGTAAGAGTGACTAGGCCATGAGGATATTGTTATTAAATTTTAGGGGATATTTAACATATAGAAACCAAATGTTAAAAATTACTGTTTATTTTCAGATACTTAATCGGTGGTAAAACTCTACCACACTGTCTACAATGGGTTCATGAAAATTTCGACGTAGATGTAACCAAACCACCAAAGATCCCACAATTACCGGAGTCTTTTACAAAAAGCAGACTACCAGATGACATAAAAGAGGAATTGGAAAACATCGCTCTGGTCAGTGTGGACGGTATGGACAGATTGATAAGAGCCCATGGACAGACACTCAAAGATATGTCGTTATTAAGAAGTAATAGTTTCAAGAGAATACCAGACGCAGTTATATGGCCGGAGAGTCACGAACAAGTGAGTATTTAACCTTATTTTAGGACCAGCTGTTTCCATTCGCCTTCATCCGCATGTAATTATATTAAAAAATATTGTTTACATTTATCAAATTCTCATTTGCAAATGTCAAAATGCCAATTACCTTGCCATTGCGATCTTGATTCCTTGATGTGGCATCTCGTAACTTATGGTCTCTTTCCCACATTAGGGTTTTTATCCAATTTATTTACCCCCATGTTTAATAGCGTGAAAAGTAAGCGTGACGTAAGTTTAGAGCTATTTATTAAAAAAAAATATTGAAAAATATGCTGTAATTGCATACATCTTACGCCACAAAGAAGTTTGTGTTAACGCTTTATTATATTAGTGTTGATTAAAAGTTTTGAAGGCTTTTGTGTCAGATCATGTACAAAGTAGGTCTATTTCGGAGGTCTACTCCGTCCCAATGTTATATCCATAATCTTTTAAAATTATGGTTTGAGCAGCGTTTTGGTCGAAATTCTCACTTTACTGGTGTTGTATATTTTGAACATGATTGAAGTTATTTACCCACTGTAACGTAAGAAATGTTTATAATTTGTCCTTCAAAAGATTACAAAATGTACGATATAATGAAAGGAGGCGTTTGTATGTTAACTTATTTAAAAGTACTTGTTCAGTGAGGAAATTGACACAATAAATGTCGACGATCATTGATATTAAGGATTTTTCACGGCATTATACTAAGCGTTACGTAATCGCATCACGTATGGCAAGGAATTAACACTTTAAAGCGAATGTGTAAAATAAATACGGTTACGACTTCTCGCGTTGACAGTACCCAGGGATATTGCCATGGTATTGACACTATTTTAATATTATCCTATGAATTTGATTGGCAATGTTCGGATCTGTTCTTCTAAGAGCAGGTTGTCGTTTCAAATATGAAAAGTTCCCACTCCTCCTAATAAAGATTAAAAAATAATATTGAAAGGGAGCGAAGGGCGATGGCAGTCCGTGCCAACATGCTCGCCCGCAGATTTGCGCGATGTAGTACGGAGGTGAAAATCACACTCTTTAAGGCGTACTGCCAGACGTTCTACACGTGCAATCTGTGGGTTAGTTACACGCAACGGGCTGTCAGCGCCCTCCGCGTCCAATATAATAATAGCCTTAGGATGCTGCTGGGACTCCCCCGACACTGCAGTGCGTCAGAGATGTTTGCGCAAACGCGGATTGACGGCTTTAACGCCATACTGCGCAAACGTACGGCCTCTCTTTTACGCAGAGTTCGGGAGAGTACCAACAGCATCCTAAGAGGGCTTAGTGAGAAGCCCGACTGCCCGATCATGGGGCACTGGCGGCGCGTACATATGCGCGTAGCCGGCATCGGGTCCCCTAGATCGTTTTAATTTTAGTTTCTCCTTTTTCTTTATGTGTGTGTGTGTAATGTAATATAATATGTAATTCTTCTGTCTATGTAATATAATATGTAGTGTTCCTGTAAATATTATATGTGTAATATTCTGTTACATGAATTAAATAAATTATTATATTATTATTAAAAAAAAGAGTCGAACCTGGTCTTAGCAGAACAGGCCAGAACGTGGTTCGATTCTGTTAATCTATACTTCTATCTATACTATTATTATAAAGCGTAAACGTTTCTTTGTTATGCAGGATGTCAGAAATCACAGCATGTTTTTGAATAATCATTATTTTATTAAAAATCCCTACACTTACGATACGCTTTAGGCTATATATTTTCACGCTATTCTACTTAGGGGATACATAAAATGAAAAAAACTGTCATGCAGGACAGGGACAAAAGCAGCGTAGAAGTAATATTGCCAGGTCGTGAATTACAAATGCCTTTATTCGTCATTATCATTTGAATTCTGAATAAAAACAATAATAAAATTTTATAATGTCATGCGGATAAATCCGGGAACGGCTGTTCTAAACAACGTTTTTTTTTTCAGGTGGTACAAATCGTACAAAGCGCGACCCGTCATAATTTCGTGATCATCCCGTTCGGTGGCGGCACGTCAGTGTCTGGGGCTATTACGTGTCCCGCAGACGAGCCTCGACCGATTGTCGTACTGGATACGAGCGATATGAACTCCATACTCTGGATGGATAAAGAACAGTTGCTGGCTAGAGTACAGGTATGTTCAATAGGGAACTTGTAGAAGGCCAGGGTACAGAATTATTGTGTATTACTTTGTTTGCAATTGTACTTTGGCCATGTTTATAATAATTTGTTCAATGTTGTCCGTATATGTAATTGTTTATCAATACAAAATCATATATTTACGTAGTGATAATTATATATTCGCAACAAAGTTTCCTGAAATAATATCTCTTTATGTCTTGGAAATGATGAATAATGTCAACTTAAGAATAATGAAACGTTCAAGGTTGTGAAACTGGAATGGTTATTATCTACATATTGTTAAAGCTTATGTTTGTGCGATATTAATTTTAAAGTAATGACTTGAATTAACTAAGTTTTTAACACGTTCCATGCCACTGCTATGTATGAAAGCGAACTCAAATAAGTCGTCACTAAATGTGTTAGAGGGCTTATCACCAATGTTTGTGAGAACGTTTTCGTAACGTTACGAACACGTTCTCGCAATTGTAATTCAAATCGTGGTAGACCCTTAATTTACCGTCTGTTTTAACATTACGCTTAATATAACAAACGAAAATAGATATGTATATAGTTTGTGTCGATTAATGGTGTAATTTTTTACTTGTTTATGAACTCGTTACCTCATTTTTCTCGTACTTTACCATGAAATGTAGTAAATATAAACTTTGTACACTGCTCTCTGTGTTTACACATTTGTCAATGCTTTGCGTTGTTTCTCATCAGTCAATATTGATAACTCTAAACACCTATTCTAATGACCTTTTCTCGACACAACTGCTGGCAAATATTTATGCAGATTGTTCACTGAGGTGTCTTTTACGGTACTTAAGTATAATAGAATTAAGTAAAAAATGATTTTATTTATTTATTAGTCCTAGTAAAATGAGTATTTTTAATAGTACTGTTATATGTTATGAAGATAAACAAAAATCAAATACCAAGTTCATTTAGGGTTCAAATTATGGTAAATATAATTTTAATCTTTTTATCCTTTTTTTTACGTGTTTTTTTACGTGAAAATTTTTTTACGTGTCCATGTATATGTGAATAAATTAATCATGTATATGTGCGTGTTTGCAATCATTGTCATCGGATGGCTGGTTAAGCATTACCGGCGCTTTGAGAAAGTTTACGGCGCCCCTTAAACCCATACAAAAAAGGGCGCCCTTTTATGTCGCCTGCAGCGCCGTTTTACACCAGGCGCCCTGAAAAAAGTCTATTGTTTTTTTTAGATGTGACATTTAATTCGATATGTATTTATACTGTATTTATAGGGTTTTTTATGTTTGAACAGGCGGGTATCGTCGGCCAGGATTTAGAGCGGGAGATGCGAGCCCGGGGGTTCACAGTGGGTCATGAACCAGATTCATTTGAATTCTCAACGCTGGGAGGCTGGGTTGCTACCCGCGCTAGTGGCATGAAGAAAAACACTTACGGCAATATTGAGGACTTGGTGGTGCAGACGAAGGTATGTATTAACTTGTAATCTACAGGTCTTGGGTTGGAATCCAGCCATGTACCAATGTGATTTTCAATTTTTCGAATTTTCATATGTACCTAATTTACCCGATGTTCTTACGATGAAGAAATCGTGATGAAACCTGCACATATCGGCGAAGAAATTCAAAGATATGTGTGAAGTCAACTAACTCGGAGTACAGTATGGTTGACTATGGCCTAGTCACCCTTACTTAGGGTAGGCTCCGAGTCCCTGGGGGGTGGAGCTGGTGATGTGATGTGGAAGTAAATCTTACTCAAAGCTGTAACGCCCCCTAATGGTTACTGGAGGCCTATATTGTGTAAACTTTGTTGTGACTATTCTGCGTTCAGGTTTATTGCTGTGTATTACCAGGTGGTGACCGCTGTGGGGGTGATAGAGAAGAGCTGTCGCGTGCCGCGGCTGTCGTGCGGCCCGGACTGGGAGCACGTCGTTATGGGCTCCGAGGGATGCCTCGGTGTCGTTACTGAGGTAATATTAATCTATATTAATATTATAAAGTGGATAAATTTGTATTTTTATTATATATGTATTGAAATAACTCAAAAAGTATCGGGCCTATTTTAATAATTCTTTCACCATTATCTACGTTATCGATTAGTAATATAAGCTATAACGTGGACTAAGTCGCGAGAATCAGCTAGTGATTAAATACACAAGAATAAACGATTTATATTGAGATTAGATTGAAACAAGGTTTAATTTTACATCAACTCTTTATTTATCAAAAAGTGTAAAACACGTGAAAAGGAAAATTGAACCTTGTCACAAACGCATAGAGCTCAATTTTATCTTACTTCTTACTAATATTATAAATGTGAAAGTTTAGATGGATGGATGAATGTTTGTTAAAGTTTGTAGCCTAAACTGCTGAACGGATCTGGATGAAATTCGGCATAGATGTATAGCATAGTCTAAAAGAACACATAGGCTGCTTGCTTTTGTTTTTGTTTTCCACGCGAACGAAGTTGCGTGCGAAAACTAGTATAATTATAATCGTCAAAAATGCACTTTCATAGTTCAGGATTACTACATACAAATTGAATTTTTTTTTTTCATATATCGAGTGCTTCATATGTTTTTAAGAGTTCTTTATTTTATTGCTTGTCCTGTAACGTAATAAAATTGCATTTATCATATTCTGATTTGAGACAACGTATCTTATGCACCCAGCAGAGGAATGGAACAAGTTACCGGCCTGTGTTCCCGTTTAGTTAAGACGTAGGTGTCTTCAGGAGCTGGATGAATAGTCACTTATTGTACACGCATTTATCCTTCGGCTGTGTCTTCGCTTAGGTTTACTAGTGTTTAAAAAAGTCTAAAAAGACAAGTTAATTGCATTTTTCGTGTGCAGGTGACATTGAAGATCCGTCCGTTGCCAGAGGTGGTGCGGTACGGGTCGCTGGTGTTCCCGCACTGGCAGGCGGGCTTCCAGTTCGAGCGCGAGGTGGCGCGCCGCCGCCTGCAGCCCGCCAGCATACGACTCATGGATAATGAACAGGTTTTCAATGAATAAATGAATATGTATTTATTGCCACAAAAAAAAACATATCGACGAATTGAGTAACTCCTTCTTTTGGGAAGTCGGTCAAAAATAGAAATTACATGAAACGACTTATTCTAAAAAAACAATCGTAGCAAAAGGTAGCAAGGTCAGCGTATGCAGGACGGACTAAGCCGTTCCTGCTCTGATTTTCAGCTGGCTCCTTTGCATTCAAGTAACATATAGTTTAATTATTAGGGTAACCGGCCGTATTAATTACATACATATACAGAAATAAAAATACACTTTTAAAAAGGAAAAAAAAAACGCTTGCAATACACCAACATTCGAAAGGGTAAACCCTTCCCTAGTTATGGTCCCTCCTAGTCTCCTCTTAGGGCTTGTTAAAACTCTAAATTTCATTAAAGTATTGAATATATTTATTTACACAAAATAAAAAAATATTGATTTATAAAATAATTCGTTTCAGTATACTGTTGTAACATTTTTCATTTATATTTCCATAAATTGTTAAAACAATAGAAATTATATGTCTTTAATTGTATAATGTTCCAGTTTCGTTTCGGCCACGCGGTGAAGACGCAGTCCTCGTGGGGCGGGGTGGTGCTGGACGGGCTGAAGAAGTTCTACATTACCTGCATCAAGGGTTTCGACCCTCGCGAGCTGTGCGTGGTGACGCTGCTGCTGGAGGGCAGCGCGGAGGAGGTGGCGGAGCGCGAGAGGCGGCTGAATGCCATCGCCGCCATGTTCGCTGGAATACCAGGAGGTGCTACCAATGGAGAAGTAGGGTATACCTTGACCTTCGTCATTGCCTATATACGGGTGAGTTTTTTAAATTAAGTTTTTTTTATTTATTTTTTTATTTACACATGGTCAATAGTTTAGGATACAAACTTTAATTATCTTTTCACATTTGTAATTTTAAAGTCGTTGTTCACGACTTCGTCCTCGTGGAATTTAAAAAATAAATTAAAAACATGCCCTTTGTTATTCAGTAATAAGTCCCTTTCCCGTCCCACCTTTTTCTTTAATAGAAGGATGGATGGGAAAGTGGATTTGACGGTGAAGGAGACGCATAGGATGGGGAAAGATCCTTTTTATGCGCGTCTCCTCTTCCGTCAATGAAAGGTAGGCAACGCATTTACAATTGCGGATGTGTATGGCCAGCGGTCGCTTTCCATTTCGGTGGATTCAGACCGCTTGCTCGTTTGCCACCTTATATTATATAAAAAAGAAATTATTAAAATTCTATTTTTTTTATAACATAAGATGGCAAACGAGCAAGCGGCCACCTGAATCCGCCAAAATGGCGAAGCTACCGCTGTCCATAGACATCTGCAATTGCAGATGCGTCGCCTACCCTTATCCGACGGAGGAGGAGACGCACATAAGGAGGATATTTCCTTTTCCTATTCCCCTCATCCCCTTCATCGTCAAATCCACTTCCCCTTCCCATCCTCTTATAAGATAAGGGTGGTAAAGAGAAAGGGACTTAAATTAGGCCTCCAGCACCACACTTATCAGACGAAACACGGAATTGTTTCCATTTGACGCCTGTCTTCTGTGTGGTCGTGGTATTACTGGGGGCGTGCCGGCCCTGCAGTGCTAAGATGTTAAAGCGGGCACTACCACTGTTAGTTTTATTGTTTACATTTGTAAATTTTTTCACTTACAAAACTCAAATACAGTCTGGGGCGTTATCGTCGCTTCGCGACTAAGACCCCTGTAAAAATAAATAAAAAAAAAAACTCAAATGCAGAAATGTTTTAATTTTGTTTGTCGCAGACGTAAGCGACATATAATTCTGTAATATTGCTAACTGTATATTCCAGGACCTGGCGCTGGAGTACGACATCGTGGCGGAGTCTTTCGAGACGTCAGTGTCGTGGGAGCGCGCGCTGGCGCTCTGCCGCAACACCAAGCAGCGCGTGCGCAGCGAGTGCGCGCACCGCCACATCACCAGATACCTCATCTCCTGCAGGCTCACGCAGACGTCAGTTATCTTTGTATTTTTTATAATATAAGGTGGCAAACGCAGGGCCTGGCAGGGTCGCCACATGATTGGAGGCGGGGTGAATGGAAAACGATCGATTGCGAAGTGAAAAAATATATTTCTTTTTACATATTTATAAATTGTCATATCAAAGAACAAGTCAAAAATAAAAATATAAAAAGCGTTCGATATCTTACAACCTCGTTTCTTAACAAGCAAGCGGTCTGAATCCACCGAAATGAAAAGCGACCGCTGCCCATAAATATCCGCAATTGCAGATGCGTTGCCTACCCTTCATTGACGGAGGAGACCCATAAAAATTTCCCCTTCCTATGTGTCTCCTCCACCGTCTTAGGCCTCCGGCACCACACTCATCAGACGAATCGCGGAATTGCTTCCACTTCACGCCTGTCTTCTGTGGTTGTGGTATTACTGGGGGCGAGCCGGCCCTGCAGTGCGAAGATGTTGAAGCGGGCTCTACTTTTCATATCTATCATACTAATATTATAAATGCGAAAGTTTAGATGCATGGATGTTTGTTAGAGTTTGTAGCACAAACTGCTGAATGGGTTTCGTTGTAATTTGGTATATATGTAGAGGATAGTCTGGAAGAACACATAGACTACTCACACTTTTTTTTAATGCCACGGGAATGGTGTCGCAAGCGAAACCCAGTAGGAAAAATGATGCTAGTGGTTTTTTTTTTTGTAGTTAATGTAATTTTTGTTTTAGTTACGACGCGGGGTGCTGCATATATTTCTACTTCGCGTTCAACAGCGCGGGCTGCGCTGACGCGGTCGCGACCTACGAGGAGATAGAAGACGCCGCGCGCGAGGAGATACTGGCTAGCGGAGGTAACTCATACATACTATTATAATAAAGCGTAAACACACACTTTGTTGCCTAAGATGTCAGCAATTACAGCATATATTTGAATAATTCTTTTTTTAATAAAAAGCCCTACACTTACGTCGTGCTTTAGGCTATTTATTTTCACGCCATTAAAGTTAGGGGGTAAATATTTCGATAAAAACCCTAATGTGGGAAAGAGATAAGTTGCTGCCAACATCAAGAAAGCAAGATCGCTAAGGTTTGTCATGTCATGTCATGTCATTTTGATAATTTGACAAATGTAAACAATAAAATAAAGTTTTTATAATTTCACGCGGACGAAGCCGCACGGGAACAGCTAGTACATATATACAAATTTACATTAGCACCTGAACACTGAGATAAGAGTAAATCTTAGGAAAACAAAAAAAATCGAGTATTTTAAAATAATATTTTTTTGAATAAACGAATTTCTTTCTTTCTATTTCTAAATATTATGACACTAAGCTATTTTTATGTAATATTAGTGGGAATCAAAAATTAACTCATGGTGTCGATTAAAATGTAACAGACGTTAAGATTTTAATGGAATTTGGATTTGGATGGATGGATAATTACGTATCCGTAAAATGGCTTAATGGATATCGATGGAATTTGACAAAACTTTAGAACATCATTTGAAAGGACACGCTAGTATTTAATTACGCGTGGAATCGCGTGTAAAAGCTACTGTGAAAAATGAAATTTAAAAATAATTTATTTGAATCCAGCAATATAAATACTATACCATAATATACTAGTATTCGCCCGCGACTCCGTCCGGGTGAAATAAAAAAAACAAAAGTGAGTAGCCTATGTGTTCTTCCAGAATATCCTCTACATCCAAATTTCATCGAAATTCGTTCAGCTGTTTAGGCTACAAAACTCTAACAAACATCCATCCATCTAAACTTTTGCATTTATAATATGACGGTTTTACATAACAATAAAACCGATATTATGTGCCGAGAAAACATACAGCATTGCTTATGAAGATGCGTTATATACTT